AAACTCATTTAATACAAATCATCCCAAAAATTATAGTTCAAGACCGGGGTTTGTGTTTTTTTTCTTTCTTTCTTTTATAGTTTCATTATTGAAGTATTTGTTACAATGCTAGAGACTTTTGAGGGGTTTACTGATTTACTTTTTAAAAAGAAAATATTTTTAGGAATATAAAAATAAAGTGAGTGGCAAAATATAGGAATAGAGATCGCAATATTGCCACCCAATATACATTTTGAAATTATTAATTGGTTTGTACTCCGCCTCTATTATTGGTGAGTCCGGACAAAAATTATCAGTATTCATCTAAACAAAACTTACGACAAATGTATATACTAGAAAAGATGCTTTGAAGAACCCACATGTTACAACAATGCCAAAATACCAATTATTATATATGTTATATAAGAGGTATATAATTAGTAGGCATGCTAATTCTTTCTATATAGATATATATTATCTTATTTTGAAGAAAAAGAAAACGTTAAAAACCGACGCACATGAAGGCCAGGGACCAAAACTGTACAACCCACGCTCAAATAGCACAAAGGAAAGCATTCATATTAAAGCCAACCAGAAGAAAGCAACAACGCCAAAGACAGCCAACACACCTTTTAATAATTTGAGGTAAGCCGTATTCCAGTATCATATAATAATTTCATGTGGTTGTATTCCAGTATCTTATAATAATTTTACATTAATTGTTATTAAGGTAATTTTAAAAAAAATGATTAACAAGTGAATCAAAGAGCCAGGTATCGTGTAATGATGTAAAATTAATAAAAGTTCCTTATGAAAAATTGGAAAAAAGTATAAGTAGAAAGAAATATATCTATAGCCTAATTAATTAAGGGTAGGTACAAAATGTTTCATTTTTTATACAAAGAAACAACCTCTCGTATGCTAATGCCATCTTTCTTGCAGTAAACATGGAATTTGCATATTCTCGGCATGCCTTTCCTCTTTGGGCAGCCCTCTTTGACCCTTCCTTCACACCCAATTCCAAAGCCTCCAACAACGACTCTACGTTTGGTGAAAACATAAAGCCAAACTCATCATCCACAACAATCGTACCTTTGATGCTTGGAAACCTTGACGCCATAACCGGCTTCCCGCTCATCATCGCCTCCATGAGAGTCAGATCGAGACCCTGCGGTCGCAGCGTCGGATTCACAAAAATATCGATGCTGTTGTAAAACGCATGTAACTTAGATGGACTCATAGACCCAAGAACTAGAACTTGAGGCCCCAAATCCTTATACCTTTGCTCCCATGGCCCCGAACCGGCCACGACCAAATACACATTCGGGTACTTTTCGATGAGCTTGGAGAATGCTTCATAGAGTATAGGATGGCCTTTGTCCTTCACCAATCTACCA